ATTAAGCAGCAGCATAGCATAATCAAAGGAACACTTCAAAAAACACACTTTTCTACCAGTGTGGCTACATTAAAGGAGGCAAGACTATAGCAGAGAGATCAGTAAACAGTGCAAATAAAGAATAGAAGTGGGATCACCCAGCCACCCCATCCCTCCCACCCCCCACCACTCCAGCAACCGAGGGTATATGCTATGGCGAGCACTGTGAATTGTGCAAGACTGTTGAATCACAGATCTGTACCTCTGAAACAAATAATACATTATATGTTAAAAAAAAAAAAAGAAGATAGCAGGTGGGGAAGAGTGAAGGAGAGTAAATCAGAGGGGGAGATGAACCATGAGAGACTATGGACTCTGAGAAACAAACTGAGGGTTCTAGAGGGGAGGGGGTGGGGGGATGGGTTAGCCTGGTGTTGGGTATTAAAGAGGGCACATTCTGCGTGGAGCACTGGGTGTTATACGCAAACAATGAATCATGGAACACTACATCAAAAACTAATGATGTAATGTATGGTGATTAACATGACAATAAAATTAAAAAAAAGAATAGAAGTGGGAATGCAGTGGCAATGGGAAAAGAGATTAACGGGTAAAATAGTATAAAGGGTAGGACTTGCAGAGGGAGATTAGGAGTAGTAATCTCTGGCTGAGTGAGACTCTGTATTGCGTTCTTGATAGCAACTGGCACTTTGTAAAACAAACACAAAACCAACCACCTGAATTAGGTTTTAGAGAAGCTAATACATATTTCTTCACCCAAGCGGGGGATGAGAGAAATGGAAAGTGAGTAAGTAGTATTGTGCCTAAAAATGATCGATCAATCCTGGCACCATTTTAATTTGAATGAGTAGTTTTACATTTATAACAATCATTAACCAGTCCATATTTTATTTTTAAACTTTTTCATAAATATCCGAACAGGGATACATTCTTAGAGAATCTCAGAAGTCAGTTTCAGAGGCAGCAAAATAACTAAAGAAGTAGAAACACGGTCTAGTGAGGACCCAGAAAGAAGGAACCTAGTCGGGGTAAATTTTACTGATATACCACAAAAGCGAAAAGTGGTAGTAGATGAGAGACGTATGGTTCCATCCATAGGGACGATCAAAAGACATTTAAAAAAACGGGTATATAATAATTCTAGCGCATATCCATTAGTGTCTTTCAGGATTTCAATACCAAAGAAATTGAAGAGCCATACCCAATGATTTCATAAATTGATTGCTATCCAAGTAGTACATATCAACTTCAGTTAACTGAATGATTGGATCTACAAATTAGGACTTATTCCACGATACTCAGCTTTCCCATCTAAGTCCCACTGTTCAACCTTCTTGGGTAATTAATACTGATTTTCTGCTTTTTCTTACCACCTATCCATAATATAAAATTCAAATAATTTATACATTTGGGATACTTAAGTCCTCTGTTCTATATATTTTTAAGAGATTTTATTTATTCATTTGCGAGAGAGACAGAGAGAACAAGCGGGGGGAGAGGCAGAGGCAGAGGGAGAAGCAGACTCCCCGCTGAGCAAGGAGGCTGACATGGGACTCGATCCCAGGACTCTGGGATCACGACCTGAGCCGAAGGCAGATGCCCAACCATCTGAGCCACCCAGGCGCCCCTGTTCTATATTTTAAAATGGTGAGTTGAACAATTTGCATTAAAAACCCTTTTTTAAAAAAATAAAATTACAATATTCTGAATGATTTAGTTGGCTTCAGAGAGAAAAATAAGGCATACATAATATACAGCATCCATTCCTACAACTATAAACTATAATACAAATTATGAAATTGATATAAATTTTCATGACCACCACCCCCCCAAAAAATGTTCTCAGTGTTGCTACTGTTGTCAGTACTGGTTTTCCAGCTTCCTTCTCTCTGTGAATAGTGTAAGAAACCTGCCATTTCCACTAGAAACATTAAAACTCAAGTGACACAACAATTAAAGTTCTAATTTTGTAGTTTAAAGTTTCACACTACTCCACCTCTTCATCCCTCTACAACTTTCAGTTTGAAAGAAAGAGGAGAGATGAACCTGGGGATTGTTAAAAAGTAAAAATTAAATGTGTAACGTTGTTACTTGAGCTCCAAGTGTTGTAGTTTGTAAAATTGACAAGGTCCTTTAATTTTTAATGCTTCCCCAAGTGCCTGTCAATTATATAAAGCTGTGCGTAATGAATGGTATAAAATGCTGTTCCCAAGTCTTTAAGTTTTATTTTTTAGTGAATATATTTATTCCATGTATTTTATGTTAAAAATGCTAGAATAAAAAAAATAGGGAGCTACTTTTTCCAACTTATTAACCCTTATCTTTATCTAGGATTTTCACATTGTTGATGTTACTTTTCTTTAATCTGTTCTAATATTTTACCTCCTACATTCTTTAGAGTGTTCCTATATGATCTTTACACAGCCCTATTCACAAAGTGTAGTACAGACAGGGCAGCACAAGCTGCAGATGCCTTTGTTGGTAGTATAATAACTAACTTTCATCCAGGTTATGGGAGAATTAAGGGGATGGAGTTAGTGAAAATTCCAATTAATTAAGGGTTTAATAACAAATAAATTATTCAGCTCCAAATAATCTCTCCAGGATTCTCCTCTCTCACTTTCTCAAGACCCTCAAGTTAATCAAAAGGGGTTTTAAGGTTACAAGCTACTTACCAAATTATCTGAGAGAAAACTTTTCTACTATTTCTAAAAGAGTTAAATAATTTGGCTCTTTCTTCAATAAAAATAGCTTTGTTTTCTGCAAAGATTATGTTGTCAGGGTAGTATATTCTTTGTAAGTGTAAATGTATGATATTATGAGTTGATTTACTCTTGTTTTAAGTTGTTACATAAACATTTTAAAAATTCCAAATTCCCACTTTTTACTATATTTTCAATAGCTACTTATATTTTGCATGCTATATGTAAATTAGGATTGAAGAAGTTTCAAATCACCTAATTGTATGTATAGTTGACCCTTGAACAACACAGGTGTTGGGGAGCCTACTGTCTATGCAGTCAAATCTGCATATAACTTTGGACTCCCCAAAAACTTAACTACTAATAGCCTACTGTTGACCAGAATCCTTTCTGATGACATAAAGTTGATGTAACACATTTTTTAATTATATGTACCACATACTGTATTATTTTTTTTAAGATTTTATTTATTTGAAAGAGAGAAAGAGCATGAGCAGGGGGTAGGAGGCAGAGGGAGAAGCAGCAGACCCCCCACTGAGCAGGGAGCCCCATGTGGGCCTCCATGTGGGCCTCGATCCCAGGACCCCAGGATTATGACCTGAGTTGAAGCAGATGCTTAACTGACTGAGCCACCCAGGTGCCCCATACATAGTATTCTTACAATAAAGTAAGCTAGAGAAAAGAAAATGTTATTAATAAAATCATAAGGAAGAGGGAACCTGGGTGGCTCAGTCATTTAAGTGTCTGCCTTCGGCTCAGGTCATGGTCCCAGGGCCCTGAGATCAAGTCTTACACTGGCTCCCTGCTCAGCGGGGAGTTTGCTTCTCCCTCTCTCAGTGCTCTCTCTCTCTCTCTCTCAAATCTTTAAAAAAAAAAAAAGAAAAAGAAAAAGAAAGAATCATAAGGAAGAGAAAATACATTTGCAGTACTGTGCTGTTAAAAAACCCTTGTACAAGTGGACCTGCACAGTTCTGGGCCATTCACACCTGTGTTGTACAAGGGTCAACTGTATACGTATGCTATATAAAACAGAGAGGGAGGGAAGAAAGACACAAAGAGAAAAAGGAGACTTACTTTTTCTTCTGTGTTGCACAAGAAAACTTGAAAAATGTTTTTTTTTAATTGAGTTTTTCAAAAGAGAATATAGTAAGTTTTATGGGAAATCAGTAGTTTTAATAAAAGGTAAAATACTGGTATATGAACCACAAGGTGGTGCTATAATTCCATGTTGGTAGTTAACAGATTTTTCTTTTATAACTGTTAGTATCTTGATTTTTATATTTTTTATAATGGAAAAAAAACCTAAGTGGGTTCATTAATTCTAGAAATATTTACTGAAATTCCTCTAAATTTAAGCTTGTATGTTAACTTTAAAAATTCATAAATTTTAAAGTCTAATGACTAAACATGGTACAATACTAAAAATGCCTTATTTCTACACAGAATTTAATGTTAATAAAATTAACTTTTAATGTTAGTTTCATGTGACAATATCAAATTACACATAGAATATAAACAGATAATAAATAAAATACAATCAGATGATCTAAATAATAATAAAAAAGAAAAAAATCCTTTCTTCCTTCCAAATAATGGAATCAATTTTCTTAAAGAGTACCCAGGGTTGTTATTATATTTTTCATGTTTAAAATTAAAAAAAAGATCATTTGTCTAGTAACGTATCTAGTAATTGAAAGTGAATTTCATTTTTCTCTTGATTTAATTTCATCTAAGACCTTTTCTCTCTCTAGAAAAATATATAACTTCCCATCACTTAAAAGAAAACAAAAACCATACTGTGTATCTTGTAATATTGGATGGCCACCATCTGTGTCTGTGCTGCTGGTCTTAAAATGTGTTATGGAATAGAGCACTAAAATACTCAACACATTTTAATGGTGAACTTTCTGACCTTTTGCTAAATACAAAAAGAAAATCATACCCTCACTCTTTCAGTGTTAACTGAAAATGTATTACTCCTTTCTGATTAAACATAAAATTGTATTTTTATTTAATTTTCAATGAGCATTTTTACCTTTTCATTACAACATATTAGTCAGTACAGATGGCAAGATGGTGTGCATGAGAGCCTCCTGGGTACAATACACAAGTCCCAGTTGGAATGTTTCCAACAGGATGTAAACCACGGTCCACAAGTCTGTACTTTAAAAAACATATTACTTAGCACACTGCCAACAAATGTCAACACAAAAATACAGTGCTGTAATGACTTCACTCTGTAAAAGAAATGTACTGACACATAAGTTTTCCTTAAAAAAGTAAAACAGAGTAAAGAAGTATAATCAGCATAAAAATAAGTATTTATTCAATATTGAAAAAACTCATATACCAAATGGAATTCAAATTCTTCATAAAAAATATTGCAGTATATTAAAATTTTCAGAGAATTCTTAAAATATACAACATGTACAGTAGCCAAAAGCCTAGAGAAGTTCACGCAGAAAATTCTATAATTGGTGATTTGGACATTTCAGTAACTCTGCGGTTTCTTCAAACCTGCAATACAATAAATAAATAATATTAAGTAAAAAAAAAGTTCATAATGAGGCACAGGATTTAAGTGGCTGAAATTATGCTTTTGAACCTAAAATAAATTTCAGTATTTTTCTTAACTATAGGTATAAATGACAAATTAAGTAGATACTATGGCCAGAGGGGAGAAATAGCAACCAAAGTCAATTATGAGTCTTTAATTCTTAGAGTGTAAGTTATTTTAATAATCATAAATAATAATTATGAAATTTCAAAACAATATAGTTCATTAAAGTAGTAGGCTGCATAGTACTTATGCAAGTTCATTTCATATTTCCTTTTCATTGCTCTTTAATCATTTGTCGTTTCACATTTGTGCAAGATACAAATATCATTTTTAGTAGTGCTTTACCAATAACTGTCTGAAAGACTGGCAATATTTTAATAATACTTAAAATGTCTCCAAACCATCCACCGACATATATTATTTTGCTAAATCAGTAATCAAATGAGATAATACTCTTGATTAACTTTCAACCAAAAATATCTCTGCACTGTTTAATCCCACAATTAATTCCATTAACCATGTTTTACATCACTTGTTGGAAACCAAAACAGTGACTCATCTCACAAACACATAACTGTAGGTGGATTTATTATCCACTAGAGTCCTGAAGGAAATTCCACACCTGATTGAGAGACCTTTAAGGTTTGAAACACATATGCACTTTCTATATATACTGTAATCCAATACAATTCCCTATAGAGAAATGAATTTCTGTTGCCCCTTTCTGTTACTTACATTTTTTTCATCCTTTCCATTTTCTGGATTGTTGTTTCCTTTAATTTAAAAAGCAACAAATTTAGGCGATTTCTCAAAGTAAACCATCATCAAAGATGGACCATGAACATGTAAAACACACTCTAAAACACTGCATTAAGTACTATTTACTTATCATAAAGAATTTTTACAAGAGATTAAGATTTATAGTTTCGCTATTTTTCTTGCCAATGGCATCTCCAACTAAATCTAATGCTTGCTTGTTCTCCTGACCTTAAAAAGGAAATCATCTTAAACAGTTGCCAGTTTTTCTTACCTCTGAATTCTCTTTCAAACCACAGTAACTACCAGTTGAGGTTCTGGGAGTTGAATCTGATGACACTGTACTATAGCCAGAGGATAGAGGAATACTTGTTTGCCTCTCCTCTTTGCTTTTTCTATCTGTGGAGAAATTCATTTTTAGGTTATCTTCCTTTCACAGTGGAGTCATATCTAAAAACTTTATGTATAAATTGAAGAAAAACAGACATTTTACTATGAAATGGCTATGAGTATAGATCCAGATAAATTTTTATTCTTTTAAGATAATGACCTAGACATAGAGATCTAGATGTTAAAAGTAGGCCAATAAAAATGACAAAAGGTACTATTACCTTTATCACAGCAATCAATTGAATAAATAGACAAGTTCATAATTTTTAAGTATAAGCTACTGACTCAGGTACATTCCTTTCTTAAAGTGGTGGTAACCATTACCAACACTGACTATACTTTTTAAAAATCAAAAAACATTCTATCCTAAGTTAAAGTGCATGGAAAAAACAATGATTAAAATTCAGAGTTTACAGATTTCTTTTTTCCTAAAGAATTGAAAAAACTTCCAGTTCCAGTATGCTGATACCATTCATTCAACAAAATGATGGCAAATTTTTCCTACAACTCAATCAATTATAAAACATCACTGATAAAACATGCTGCTATTAAATCAATCCCATAAGCCCTATGTTTTAGTCTGGATACATATGGCTGCAAAAATCAAGGCCAAAAAAAAAAAATAGGCACCCATTTAAACTGGTACACATAGGACAGTTTTACTGTAAGCCAACAGACAGCCTCAATTAGGGAAAAAGTATTACCGCCTGAGGACTGAAACGACTAGACTCTTACTTTCATCTCTCATGGAGTTGTGTGAGATGTCCACTTCTCTTACCTCTTTACTCCATTCCTCTGCTTGCTTATCAGCATGAATTTGAACAAAATGGCCAGCCCAGCCCAGGCTCAATATCATTGACTGACTTAGTATCCTAATTCCAAATTCCCAAGGGAGAGAAAATGATCTGGCTCAACACCTTTTGGATTGGTATTCCCTGGGTTAGGTGTCTACTTTTGATCCAGTTGGGTCAAGATCACATGGTAGATTAGCTACACCCACGTCTTTGGGCAGGGGCTGTTGGCAACAGTTAATTTCAAGGAATAACTTGAACCTAGGCAGGAAGTATATCCAACATTCCCTAATCTTGGGTTATTTTCTATGGATAGAGAGAAGTGTCCTTTGAAAATACTGAACCAAGCTGTTCAAAAATAGGGCAGTTTTGAGTCCTAGGACAGGAAACAAAGAGTGGGAAGACAGAATGGAAGGTGAATGGAAGGTGAAGGAATGGCTCTCTCTGCTCTGATTTCTGGGGCCTAGACTTTGAGGATCTATCTAGCCATCAAGGGTGAACCTCATGATGGGAAAAACCTGGTATTAGGCAGGCTAGGGGGCTATTTGGAGAGCCATACAGGGCATTCCAGAGATTACAGAATGGGGAATATACCGAACACCAGCCATATTTGATAGCCAGATCAGTTAAGTGTATATTACTTTTCTGTGACGATTTTTCCTATTGCTTTCCTGAGCCTCTAGTCTTCCTTGTTTAAACGTAATGGTTTCTTAGCTGTGCTATGAGAGATTTGAGAAAAGACTGGTAACTAAGCTCAGGTTGGAAAGGAAAGGGGAGAGTAATGGCCCCGAAGGCCAATGTTGTTTTGGAGTTTCAGAGTCACCGCTCATAGATCTCTGTGAAGAAAGGGGATCTCTAAGATCTAGATTTCCGAGTCAACTGTCTCCACGGGACCATTCATCTTTCACTGCCAACTTTGGAGAATTATGACCTGACTGCACCAAGAGAACTAGTTGGGTCCTTTGCCATTTAACTATACAGGTATCGCCCACTTTTTGAAAGTTTTCCCATTACGCCACTCTGCTTTTACAAAAGACCCACATTAGTATCTATTTTTGCTAACTAAAAGAAATCAAGGAGGATGTTGACTTTGAGTCATTATAGAGGCCTCACACCCTAAGCGGCGAGAGTGGCCCCGCCAAGTGGCTTCCCTGGGAGCTACCCTCAGTGGCTCAGCACCAGGCCTCCACAGCTTTGAACTGTTTCTGTGAGTGACTGTGCTTTATCACAATTTAACTGTGTTCCCGTTAGCAAGATGTGTCCTTAGGTATCAGAAAAGTCTAAGAGAAGTTATTTTTTGGGTCTGGAAATGCTCATAAATTAGTGGTAATTGCTTCTTTGCTTTACACCATTTAGGCTTATGGAAGGTTTCCTAGTAATGCTCTTCTGATAGCGGGGAAACCTGTAATTTGTAAGCCACTACTTCCCAAAGAGGGAAAAATTTATGTCCAACTGATTTCTGGATATTTTGTATTAAGTATATCATACATAATTTAATATTTTCAAAAGTGAACTCATTATTTTTTCCCAAACCTTCTCCTTAAATCTCTATTTTATTAAAGTAACAACTATGTATTCAGTCACACAAGTCCAACACAAGTGGTCAGTCTTGACATTTTCCCTCTCCTTCACCACTTCTACTTCAATCAGCAATCAAGGCCTATCAATTCTAACAGCTAAATAAATTACTTCCTCTTTATCCTCACTTTCATAGCCTTGGTAGACACCCCCATTATTCTGAACTAAAGATCACTAAAAGACCATTCAAATTACTGTCCTTCCCTGTGTTACTTTCTTATAATGAATCATTATTCTGTTTTAAGATGACCTCTCTGAAACAAATCTGATCATATTAGCTTTGCTAAAAATCTGTGACCCCACATAAACTCCATGATTTTGTCTTTCCACTCTTCTGCTTCAATTTCCTTCATATGCCCACATGTACTCTTGTGATACCATAACTTTATTAACATTTTTCTTGGGAGGAAAAAGGCACAAAAAAACCCAAAGCAAAAAAAGAAAGAGCCTCAACAGTCATGCCCTATCTAGGAATTAACAATTACTGAACTGTAACTGAACACAAAAAATTTCATAGAAAATGAACATCATATGAGGTCACTTCATTACTGTGATGAAGCAAAGTAAGACCACCATCACGTATGAATATGGACAAGGACACCATGTAAGCAATAAACACACAAATGACCAGCTCTCCCAACTAACATGAGTGCTTCTTCTTTTCCCCTGAAAACTTCAGCTCCTTTTTCATTCTTATCGGTCATCAAACTGTTCCTGCTTCCTGATAGCACCCAAACTAGAAGAACCATCACTTCTTTAATAAACTGTCTTCAAAATCACCCAACATAAACCCAATCCTTACAATAAAAGCCTCTTCTCACTGTTTTTTTTACCAAGACACAGAGAGATGCCTTACAGGCACCCATGGAAACACTATTTTTGATAAAAAGAAAAGAAATCATGAACTTCACAAAAACCATTCCCAACTTAATATAATCCTAAAGTCAGGCTGGTGAATTACTGCTCTCAACTTCCAAGTGAGATCAAACTCTGCTTCCATGTAGCATGTACATGTAAGGTGCAAAGTGTAAGAATTTATATATAAACTTGACTCTTTTAATTGATCACAGTTAGACTATAAACTTTGAGACCAGACATTTACCTTGTTCATAATCTATAAACCCATTTCAGATGGTGGCCTGTCTGCTCATCAGCCTAAGTCCTAGCACAGTGGCTTAAACTTGTATATGTGTTAGCTAAATGGGTTAAAGGTATGTTCTGTAATAATGTTAATAAAATTATAACCATGAAAATGCAAAAGCAAAGTTGGAAAAGGCAAGTTTTGTTTTGTTTTTTAAGATTTTATTTACTGTCAGAGAGAGAGAGCACAAGCAGGGAGAGCAGCAGTAATAGAGAGAAGCAAGCTCCCTGCTGAGCAAGGAGCACCACGCAAGATTTGATCTCTGGATCCTGGGATCAGGACCTAAGCTAAAAGTAGATGCTTAACAGACTGAGACACCCAGGCATCCCAGGAAAAGGCAAGGTTTTGCAAATAGCAGGCATTCAATATTCTTTCACTATATAAAAAATTGAGCTCCATTATATACAGATACTGGATAGAAATATAGGCCTAATTTCTGTCTGCTAGACAGAACACAAGGTAAGATCTTGATCTCAAGGATCTCAGAGTTAAGCTTTGGAATTTGTTGAATAAATGAATGAATGATAAATGCAAAGAGGAAACATTTTACCAAATCTGAAATGTGTAGTCTAATAAATTCAGTGCCCGAATCACTATGTCATGTAAGATATGTAAGCTGGCTTTTTTAGCAATCCTAGGCTTCAGTACTCTGTAAGTTCAATACTGTCTTTGTTTAGGGGTTCTACAGTTTCTAAAAAATAAGGCTTCGGAATATTAAAATTATCAAATACCTATATAAGTCATTCTCCTGAAAACTCCTTATCATACCACCAATACCACCGCCATAATACTAGAACTTACCAGGATTCAGAATATCCATGTCATTACTAGATTCATAGTCTTCATTTGTTTCACTAAAGTCTATATATTCATTATTCTGGAATAATACAGATTAGTATTAGAATAAAATGAAAAGAAAAATGTACTTGTTTTATATTCTTATTGTTAAGCATAAATATAAAGATGACATGATGAATGTTTAAACATTTTTAATTGAACCAGAAATCGAAATCCTAAGTAAATAAAAAAACAAATTTCTTAGATTTGACAAGGCCATGGCAAATTTGGTTAACCGTTTCTATGAAATTTATAATTTGATCAAAGTAAATGAGTGAAAACAGGAAGTCATGATTTTAATTTTTCCTGTCCATCTTTTCTTTTCACTATAAAAATAAGCCATTTGTGCTATTAAAGAATATAATTTCAAGCTTCTCATAAAAATCAAACATTATCTTACCTTATTTTAAATGTTCAGAGCTGTTCAAGTATTAACAGCTCTAAAAGCTGAACCTAAAGAGTTTTGCCAGGTTATCTTAGTTGATAAAGAGAAAAACAATAACCACAACAGCAACAAAATAGGCTGGATCTAAATAGGACCTCATTTCAAATAAACATTTTCCCACTACCTTAACATTATCTTAATTAGCTTTTCTAAAAGAATATACACTTAACAATGAATGAAAACTTGATTGTATCTGAGATATCCTATAAATGTTAAGGAAAGATAATACCTTTTTAGACAAAAGCATTTCTGTTTCAAGAAGAGTGACACGACTTAGAAGATTAGTCCACATTTTTTCATTTACCATCACTCTTCCTTTCATTTTTTCTTCCAAAGAGTCTAATCTACTCTCTACCAAAGTCAGTTTCTGAAGCTTTTCTTGGCATTGAGCAAGCATAGTCTGTAGTGCAGTAATCTCAGGATTAATTTTAATATCCTAAAATGAATAGAGAGGTTAAAAATTATATTACACAAACTGAAATTCCTTTAAAACTCAATGTATCCCCATTTTCACTGCACTGTGTTATTTCAATAGTTAACAACAGGCAGTACAGTGTGAGAGTTGAGTGTGATCTGTAGAAAGAGAATGCTTGGACCCTAAAACTACCTCATCTGAGGTGTATGACCTTGGTGTCTCAATTTCCTTATATATTAAAAAAACAAACAAACAAAAAAACCCCAAAAAACCCCAGTACCTACTTTATGCGGTTCTTATGAGGATTAATTTGCAGAAAGCTCTTAGAACAACACCTGGTGGTATGAGAAAACTGTCACTAACTTTTTTGTAATAGCTCCTAGCACAAAGCTAAGAGGGAGTGACCAAGAAATGACAGTGCATTGAGACTGTTCAGTTTGCTAAAAAAAGAAAATAACCTTCATGACGATGTGATAGTTTTTATAAGGGACAACTGTATACTGTGATGTACAGAAGTTACAAGAAACAGAAGAAAGACAGAGAAAGTTTAGCAGGAGCAGTACAGACTAGATGCTCTAATAGGGTCCGTGGCAATAAAGTAATAGAAAAAGTATTCTAAGAGTGAGAAAGGGATGGCAAGGGTCCAAAAAGGAAAATGAAATGGCAGGAGTGTAGTTTTTCCATTCATTAATGAAGGGAATGGAGAGTAGAGAACCCTCACTGTACAAAGAAGTATATCTCCATCTCTCACCAGACTGTAAATTCCCTGAAGCAAAGTACTATCTCTTATCCATCTTTTTCTTACCCATAACACCTGGCCCAGTACCCTAAACATAAGCAGCAAATAATATCCATTGAATCCATACAGTACACTTATTTATTCTTAAATAATGGTAACAAAGGTATTGTATTAAGATAAATAATTCAAAAGGCGAGAGACATTCCAAAGTTTAGGTGCTGAAGTAATCATGTACATCAAAGAAATACTGGCATCTGTTAAAGAAGTCCAAAATTCTTACTTGTTGTTCAGACTTGATTTCAGGGAACTTTACTTCAGGAATCTTTATTTCAGTCGTCTTTAAGTCACACACATCAAATGTTTCACTAACATCTGTTACAGTACTTATTGTATCTTCAGGAATGTTAACACCATCTTCGTTATACAGGTGACGGATCACCACAGCTTTTTTCTGCAGAGAAAAATAGGTCAGAGCTGCTTAATGGTTTCCTCATACAACTATTTTAAACATAGACATAGTAACTTTGCAGAAGAAATATCCATCTTCCCTTTAAGATTTACCAAAGTTTAAATAACATATTAAGGCATATGTCAAACACTATCGATTAACTATTATTACTATTACTAATATTTTCTGTGATGAAATTGTTGTCCTGATTTTTAAAGCATTCTTATGTACTTGAAAAATTGAAATACCTATGCAATGATATCTGGGATTTGATTCCTGTTGTTTCAGATTTGGGGGGAAAGATGCTAGACAAGTGGTTACAATACAGATGAAACAAGATTAAGGAGAGGTTGATACACTGCTGATAGTGAGAACAGGTACTTTTTTAAAAAAAAAAGATTTATTTATTTATTTGACAGAGAGCGAGAGAGAGAGCACAAGCAGGGGGAACAGCAGACAGAGAGAGAAGCAGACTCCCCGTTGAGCAGGAAGCCCGATGTGGGGCTCGATCCCAGATCCCTGGGATCATGACCCGAGCCCAAGGCAGATGCTTAACCAACTGAGCCACCCAGGCGCCCGCGGAATGAGTACTTTTATAAATGTTTGGAACATTTCATAATAGGTTGCCACATAATTGACATATAATCAAGAACTGGCTCTGTGAGGAGGACCCATTACAATTTTTTTTCTAATAAAAAAGCCAGAAAATATTAGACCTTCAGCTAATAATTCAAACTTAATAATAACAAAGGGAAAGTCCTAAGAGTAAGGCATGAGGTCAAACTATGCATTCACACAAGACTCTTCTCTGCCTACTTCCTTCACTATAGACAGACTGCATATGCACTATAAATATGTCATATAAGATAGAATTCACAAATCACAATCTATAGAAGGTACTGGGAAAAGAGACCATTGGCTTTAGTAGTGACTCAATCTCTGCCTATAAAGTACTGATTCCAACTTTTCTAAGTTGGAATACTTTTATTTATTTATTTTTTAAGATTTTATTTATTTACTTGACAGAGAGAGAGAGAGACAGTGAGAGAGGGAACATAAGCAGGGGGAGTGGGAGAGAGAGAAGCAGGCTTCCCACTGAGCAGGGAGCCCAATGCGGGGCTGGATCCCAGGACCCTGGGGTCATGACCTGAGCTGCAGGCAGACGCTTAACCGACTGAGCCACCCAGGTGCCCCATAAGTTGGAATACTTTTAAAAGTCACTCAAATTTCTGAAAAGATCTGGTGTCATTGATTCAATTTTGATTAATAACAAAGAATACTTTGTTTTAAGAAAACTAAAAACAAGTTTAGGGCGCCTGGGTGGCTCAGTCGTTAAGCGCCTGCCTTCGGCTCAGGTCATGGTCCCAGGGTCCTGGGCTCGAGCCCCGCGTCGGGCTTCCTGCTCCGCGGGAGGCCTGCTGCGCTCCTTCTATCCCCCCCTCCACCCACTCTCTCTCATTCTCTTTCTCTCTCTCAGATAAATAAATAAAAAATCTTAAAAAAATAAAAAGTTTAATGCCTTGAAATTTTGCACCTTATTAGGACAATTTAGATTATCACTCAGCACCAAAACTGAAATAGAAGATTGAAAAATATATTTAGCATATAACTAATATTTAGTTATACTAGTTATAATAATTATTATAACTAATATATTATATAATACTGTGTATTATAATATACAGTATACAACTAATATATTAGTTATAATCATAGCTCATATTTAGGAAGTGCTTACAATGCCTATGCTAAGCACAAGAAGGTTACAAAAAGGCAGTACAGGAAAATTCCTGTTTATATAAATTCGAGTTGGGGAAGGATATTGTATATAAACCACTTAGAAATTAGAAAGAAAATTGTGTCAAGCTAACGAGTTAGGTAAGTTAGAGATTCAGGTGTACAAGAAGTATGGGCATTTATTCAGAAACCATGTATCTTTTAATTCCTTTTCTTATTGCTCTTATTACCTACAGCAAAACAGTTATATTAAAAAAAAGTAATTAACATTTTCCCTTCAGTAAAATGTTAAGTTTATAAAGGCATAAAAGTATCTCTTTTATAGATTCTATTAATATAGCTCATGCAGTTTGGACTGGGGAGAAATAATTCTCTAGATTTTACTTCAGCCAGAAACTATTCATATCTTTTATCTAATGACACCTTATTTATCTGATATTCTATCCTCTGATCTCAGAAATGGTTTGCCCAAAGTGGAACACAGCTGAAAATATAATACTAATTGTTATAAAGTAATATTTTGGCCTCAATGTCTCTTGGAGATAGAAACGCTATCTCTAAATGCACTGGACTCATTCAGCCACTAGTATGCCAAGGAGACAGGGTAGGTAAGATATTTATTAACAAAGAGAAAATATTCAAAAACTCACCCCAAAGCCAGATTATAGGTTTAGGGACTATCAATCACTGGATAATATACCCTATCACTATTAGCTAATGGTATGCTCTTCAGACATTCCCATGTCTTAGAAAGACTAGATACATAATTAAGAGTACATGTCAAGACCACATAATACAGCGTTTCCAAATCACTGCATTCTACCTGGGAAGTGAGGCAGAAGTACGGATTAGAAACACAAAGAGAAAAATTGTTCAATTTTACATTTCTACCTTCTTATAATGTGAGGACTGTCCGCCAGATAATATGGTATACATTGCTAAAAATCCTTATGCTGTATCTGACTAAAATGTTTTACTAGCTACTAGTCAGAAAAGTGAAACTTGTACATTAATTAGGTAGATAATTCTTAGCACTGACACATTTTCTTTGTATTTTCCTACCTTTCCTGAAGTCATAAACCTGCCAGTGATGTCAATGCCAACAGGCTCTGTAGATGTTTTCTCAGTGCTTGAAGAAGGTTCTGACTTAACAGAACTGATTTTCTTTCTTTGTTGTGATGGAATCTTAAAAAAAAAAGTATTAAGACTAATTTTACGTGAAAGCTAACATATTTAAATTATATTATTTAAATTTTCATATACAAAATACAACTACCAAATGATAAGAATCTAATGAGACACGTCTTTTGAAAACTAAGAAGTGAGGAAAATGTGTTATGTTTGAACTGTTAGCTTAGGACTAGTAGCTCAAAGTCACAAATGTGTGAAAACAAGTGACCAGTATTTAAAAGAAACATAAGGTATATGGTTACCCAAATCTGTGAACAATGCAGTAATTGTATTTCTGTGTTAGTCTGCTATCTAGGGTTTGACTTTATATGTTAAAATGCTGGGCCACTTGGAGTAAGTTAAAATCAATTAATAAAATTACCTTCTCAAGACTACTCAATTCCTTGTGCTTTTTCATCACACAATTCAAAATATCACAAATAATTTGGATTTTCCATTCTGCAAATCCACACTGGAGAAACTGCTTTTTTGTCAAGATTGGTTTATAATTAAACTGATCACGCAGAAGCTGTAAAGAGGGAATAGATCAAAATCCAAAATGATAAATGGCCACCTGCTCAGGAATGTAATAACATCTCTGAGAAGAGAAGGAGGATCATGCCAGTAGATTAAGGGTACTAAAGAGATTCGTAGGAGTGGTGTGAGTCATGACCAGGTAGGAGAGGTATTCATGTAGAAAACAGCTAGGTAGGAAGTAGCAGAGAATAGATGGCTGTCTAAGATGAAAAAACATAGCCAATGATCAAAAAGTTCAAACATCCTCATTGGTACTAGAAAAATTCCTTAACTTACTAGATAATAAAGAATACCATACCAGATGTCAGAAAACCATAATTTATTTAATTCTTACACGACATGATTTATTAGATAAGTCAGTAGGCCTCTGAGTTTCAATGTCTCATTTGTAAATGAGAGAAAGAGACTAACTAGACCAGCAATTTTCAAAGCCTGTATTATAAAATCCTAGGATTTCTTAGAAGTGCTTCTCAGGTTTCCATGGAAGCTTGCTGGGGTTAGAGGCAAAGACAGGGAAGACTAAACAGACTCTATACACGTAAAAGCTCCCGTTTCATCAAATGTAATTCACTACTTAAAAAAAATTGATTTGATAAATGGGTTTTACTATTTTAACAGTGAGAAAACCAGTGCTTGAGTAAAAATTAATGATAATCTGGAGGTATTCTTTAATCTTATGAGATGTTCAGTATACATACAGTACAAATGCAGATACTGGAGTAGATATAAGACATGGTCCCAGACCTCAAGGAACATAAAATCTCAAAGTTTTAGTTCCCTCTAATTAAATTAATCACAATTCTATAAACCACAAACTACTCAAAGTCACATTTCTAACTTCTGCCAACATGCCAAATTATACTAAAATTTGATATAAAAAGAGCAAATGATAACCAATGACATTTTTACCAACTGCCACTTATTAGATTATAAAATATAAAGGGAGCTTAAATTATCCTGATTATAACAGGGACTGCATCTAAGTGAGAAATGCACATGAAAATACTGTCAACTATGTATGTTGCACATATATAAGGGGTTATTATAAAACATTACTCTTAAAAATCATTCAATGACTTCTGAAATTATTTCAGAAATTCAAAAATACCTTATAGACGGTATCTATAAAGCGCAAGTCATTCTTCGCTATGAGCTCTATATTGGATTCCATCAGAAGTTCGGCTACATAAGGTGAATATGAGGTAAGGGAATAGCTAATGATGGGCAAAGATGCTGCTGTATCTCCCTTTACCAAACTGTTCGCGAGAAAAAGAAAGAGATATTTAATGAGCATAATTACACAAAGTTAGATAAGAAAGGCAATATAAAATATGGTGTCAATAATTTTATAAATTAACACTCCAGCCAAATAATTAGGAGATAAAACCCTCTGGAGTCCATCCCCTACTCTAACTCAGTATAGCCAAATTACTATGAAATAACAGTTTATTTTCTAAAACAGTTAGCTCTTTAGTAACAGTACCGTCTATTCACCACAGTATTTGAATTTCCAAAGCTTAGCCTTACTTGATCAGTCCATTTTCTCTAAACAAATGTACCACCTTATAGTGCTCAAGTACATTTTATGGTTTTGCAAACCCTTTTTACATTACCTCATTTGCTCTTTACAATAAACCTGCAAAGGTAAAATATCATGAATTCTACGTTACAGAGGGGAAAATAGGGCTGGAAAAGGCATCTACAGTAACTGGGCTGATCAGTTTGCATCTTCCACTTGTATCAAGTTCAGTAGAAATCTGTGCCTTAGTAGAGTATGCTAATTCCTCCCGTCTAGAAAGGTATCCCATTCTTTTCTGCCTGTTATTCACTCTTATAAATTATTTGGCAAATCTCAAGCCTTCCAGGAAGCCACCCTCAATTTTCTGATCCACACTGATGTCTTACAGAATGAGTCTCAGGGCATTCAGTGTCTGATGCCTCATGCTCTGTCCTGTACTGTTTTCTACTTGTCTACACATATGGACCTTATTTTCTCAATGTGAAGTACCTTCACTGATTCTCCCACAACAAAGCAAGGAGGTATTTGTTAATTAGCCAGTTATATATGTTCAACTGACATAAAAATGCACTTACAGAAAACATTTGTTTTCCACAAAATTCAAGACATACATAAATTTCCCCATCCTCACACCAATTTTTTTTTAAAAGGCAGAGAACAAGTATATAATGCTAGAATTACATTTTATTTTTAAGGACAAATATAAATTGTTTCTTTTATATTTATGGGTACAGTAATACTCTACCCAGTGAGAAAACTGCTCTGGAAATCCTGTCCATTAGTTTAAAACAGGAAATGAAAACAATACTTTTGAACAGCAAAATCTGTCCATTTTATGCACATTCTGACTAGAAGACAGCCGGGGGCTACATTTAATACCTCTTGTTTTAATTCAAAAATCTTGATTATCTAGTTTCTAGGGACTTTGATTAGAAATAGTAATAAAATAGATATTATAAACTGGCACACAGACACAAAAGGGAGATGCTGAAAAAAGGTTAAAAATGGATAAGAAATGTAAGACTCAAAATATGTGTGGGGGGAGTGTGTATGTGGGTGAGAGGGGTAACCTGAATAAGCAGCAGCAAGTAGTGTTACTTATTTCAATAGACCCTGCAGAGTGCTATGTTTTGAAATAGTCTGAAAATTATTGTTCTCAATGATACTCTTCAGTCAGTTAGAAAATCAAATGTTTAGATTCCATACTCAAAAGACAGGAGAATAATTGGTATATTTTCCAAGTATTCCTATCCAGAATGTATCTTAAAATGATGCTTCAAGTAGTAAGAAGAAAATGCGGCTATTCAAACTGGTTAAGTCCCAGCAAGACAAGACAGTAGAGATGTCCCTGTTGTAAGCAAGCAGGATCTGATTGGTACATGCTGTGGAGCACCTTCTGATTCTCACACAGAAGGCTTGGAATCGGTCATTAGAGCTCAGGTTTCTCCCACGATCCTCATCATCCTTTCATTTTGCCATCCCTTGGGGTTATAGATCTCCCTACATTCCATCCACACGTATATGTAAAGCACATCCCTAGAATATCCACTCTTACATGTCACGCACATTATTCCAGGATTCTCTTTTTTTACTGTTCAACCAAGTTTTACTCTACTACTTGAACATATAGCTAATCTGGACTTGTCCCTGGACACTTACTCATTGAATAAATGTCTAGTTAGCTACTAACATGTGTCAGGCACAATTCTAGATGTGAGGATATTGCAATGAACAAAACAAAGTACCAGTCTTCAACTTATATTCTAGTGGGGAATACTTTCAATCAATAATCCCAGGTAAGAAGAAAAAAAAATATTAAGGGATAGAAGATGAGAAGAGTACCATATTTAGATTAGCATGAACACAGAAGAAATACATGTTGCTACATACTACAAAGCAAGTCAGTCCTATTTGGAAAGTGAAAACTACAGTGAAAGGTTCAAGTGGGGTCTATCAAATGAGTTAGCTTAATAACAATCTTTGCACATGGTGTAAGTTGTCATAAGAAGCCCATTAACTAGAATCTTCCACATCAAATAGCAAATTATATAATTAAAGCGATCCATTATACTTTAATGAGTTTAAAAGTTGTATAGAAACCATATCTCGTACAGATGTATATTGTGGTTCTACTTCTAAAAGGTGTTTTAAACCTCGAATTAGAATTTTTCATTGATTCATACTTAGAAAAAAACTCCTGTAATTCCCTGCTTTCTAAAATATTTTAATCATTTCAAGGAAAATTTTAAAACAACCCAGGTAAAATTTGTCTCTATTTAGATACACCCCCAATGTTAAATCTTACCTCAAATAATTATCAAAAAGAAAACAAATAAGTTTGATACAGAGCTTACCCAACACAATCCACCTCTTGAGGATAATTTAGTGAGCGAAGCACTTGTTCTAGGTTCCGTAAGCTTCTTTTTAAGTCACCTGTTGCCATTATTTAACATTACATTCAGCTCCAGCTTTTGAAATAATCTAATTTTTCACCTAAAAATAAATCCATAAAACACTGGTTAAGTCTATTTCTGAATCTTTATTTTGTTCACATCTCTTACAGGCACTAAACATATTTATCTTATCTTAGCTATTTCTGTGCTAACTTCTCTTCCCTACTGGTCCAGTGCGATCATCTATCTACAGTATATTCCCAAATATAAGATAGGCTTTTTCCCCCAAATACTTTCCTTACAAAAAACAATGTTTGCCTTACGTTCATATTCTTACAATGTGTCTCATGATATTCTCCCAAATTGTTTATTCTGAACAAAGTTCCATGTGGGAAGAGAAATCAACCTGAAATAACCTCCATCAATGACTATTTTAGATGCTTATAATGGTTACATAATAAACTCAGTAAAAAAATGGAGACAAAAGAATTTATTACAGATTTAGTCATTATTCCCAGGGCTTTGACCTCATAGTTGCCAAAAAGATGCTTTGCTTAAAAAATAAAAATAGATGAGTTAAAAAAAATTTAGGATTTGGCTTGTAAAATATGGTGGATTAAGTGCATGTTATCTTTATTTCTTTTGTTTTAAACATCACTAAAATGAAAGTAAATGATTAAAAACCATATATACTCACCAGGGCAAAATGAATTAGAGGGGATTCCACATGACAGGAGAAGTATCAACAAAAGTGTGGAAGATGGAAAGCAGATGAATAAGTGAAAACCAACCTAGCAGAGCAGAGACAGGCTAATCTTATCTGCCCATTTAAGAGGAAACAAACAGCAGCAAGGTAAGTTCAGAAATGAGGGGCCCTTAATGCTTATGAAAGGCTAAGGGGTAAGACCAAGGGGGTTGAAGTAAGGATGATTATTCGAAAGTCCATGTAAGGAGCTACTAAACCTAGATTTTTACTTTCCCTCCCCCTCACCCCCTCCCACATATTTTGTTCAGCTAGGCAACTACCTCTCTGCATCCCCAGGTTTACCAATGGGTTTTTAGATAATATCAGAGCACAATCAATAAATTTTTAAATAAGTTGTACGTCATTAAAATTTAAAACTTCTTCGGGCACCTGGGTGGCTCAGTTGGTTGGGCAACTGCCTTCGGCTCAGGTCATGATCCTGGAGTCCCGGGACTGAGTCCAGCATTGGGTTCCCTGCTCAGGGGGGAGTCTGCTTCTCCCTCTGACCCTCTTCCCTCTCGTGCTCTCTATCTCTCATTCTCTCTCTCTCAAATAAATAAAATCTTTAAAAAATAAAAAAATAAAATTTAAAACTTCCAAAAAGACACTGTTAAAAGAATGAAAAGATAGTTCACAGACTGGGAGAGAATATTTACAAAACACACTGAATAAAAGACTTGTTCCCAAAATAGACAAAGAACTCTTGTAAGAAAAAAAAAAAAACCTAGCCAATTAAGAAATAGGCAAAATATCTGAACATTCGGGCGCCTGGGTGGCTCAGATGGTTAAGCGTCTGCCTTCGGCTCAGGTCATGATCCCAGGGTCCTGGGATCGAGTCCCGCATCGGGCTCCCTGCTCCTTGGGAGCCTGTTTCTCCCTCTGCCTCTCTCTCTCTCTCTCATGAATAAATAAATAAAATCTTTAAAAAAAAAAATCTGAACATTCATCTCACCAAAGAAGACATACAGATGACAACAATCATATAAGATGCTCAGTATTACTTATCATTAGGTGATTGCAAATTTAAAAAAAGAGAGATACCACTACAGACCTATTATAATGACTAGAATCCAAAAAACTGATGATATCAAATATATATGGGATATGGAACAACAGAAACTCTCACTTATTGCTGGAAGAAATGTAAATGGTATAATCATTTTGGAGGACAGTTTAGCAGATACAGAGCTAAACAGTCTTACCATACAATCAGCAAACATGCTAACAAGGTATGTACATATACTATCTTGCACGTGAATGTTTATAGCAGCTCTATTCATATCGTCAAAAAGTGAGAGCAACCAAAATGTCCTTCAATAGGTGAATGGATGAAAAAAATCGTGGTACATCCATACAACAGGATATTTAGTCAGCAACAAGGAAATGAGCAGCAACAAAAAGACATGGATGGACCTTACTGCCTCTTCCTAAGTGAAAGAAACTAGTCTGAAAAGGCTACATACTGTATGATTTTAATTATAAGACATTCTGGAAAAGACAAAACTGTAGTGACAGTGAAAACAACAGAGATCAGTGGTTAAGCAAGGACTCAGAGGAAAGGAGAAGAGAGGGTTGAATAAGTAAATGTAGGGAAATCTTTTAGGGCAGTGAAAGTATTCTGTATGATACTGCAGTGGTAGATACATGACAGTATGCATTTGTCAAAACCCATAAAACTGGACAGCACAAAGAGAACCTAAGGTATGCAGCCTTTATAAAAACCACTTAGAAGCTGGGAAACCCCAGGACAGAACCAGACTGTGACAACAGAACCTAAGTGTATTACCAGTGTGTGAACCACCTCACAGAAGCACATGGGTGGACACGGTGCTAACTAACTCTGGAAATGAGTGCAAGGCTCAAGACAAAACCACTTGCATATAAATACTGTACTCTAGTTTATAAAGTTGTTTCCCAGGTACTTATGAATTAATTGATACTTCTATGCATACACACTGGAATTGAACAATTAAGTAAACATACGGCAGAACATTAGTCGAAGCTTCTTACTGCCAGAGTGGGAATTTATAGATCAGTAAGGAGAGGAGACTAGAATGAGCCAAACCTGCCTAATCCATCAGAGTTAGAAAATTCCAGGATGAAGTCATGTTCAGCTAAATATAGATAAAGACAGTTATATACTGAAGGATTTCTAGATATGTGTATATAGACAGCTAGTATACATGTATTTCCTTTCTCTGCCAGCTGAAAGTGATTAAAAGCAACAACACCCCAGCAGTAAAGAGCACACCTCACATTCAGATCTTAGTGTGTATAATGTTCTCCAATAAAAGAAACCAGGACTCCCTGTAGAAACGGTTAAATTCTAAGACTGGAACAGAAAATATACAAGATGAGCCTGAAGTATTGCATAGTTCCAGAAAGTGAGAAAGTATACACAAACCAATCCCAAAGTGATGGGGGTATGTCAATAGGACATAGGAGACAAATGAAACAGTTCCCAACGGTCAAAGGCGAAACTACCTGAACAACAAAATTAATTTAATACTATTGGATTATAATCCAAAGTATAAGCAAAACAGAAAATGAATTACTATAGCTCAGTGTACTAACAAACAAAGGAGAAAATGTTATCATTTCAGCACATTTCATAAAATTCAACATTCATTCATAATATAATTCTTAGGACATTAGAAATAGAAGGGAACTGTGTACATTTGATGAAGGATATCTACAAAAACAAAAACAAAAACAAAAACCTACTGCAAACATCATACTTCAAAATAATAGAAGCTTTCTTCCTGAGACTGGAAATGAATCTTGTTCCCTCATCATTTCTCTTCAACACTACAGGTCATAGATAGTACAAAAATGCAAGAAGAAGAAATAAAAGGAATAAACACTAAAAAGGAAAAAATAAAATTGTCCTAATTCACAGATGACATAATTGTATATATGAGTCCAAAAGAAATAAGTGAATTTAGCAAGGTTGCTGATGGGTAGAAGGCCAGTACATAAAAACCAGTTGTATTTCTCTGTATCCCTCAAGTAATTATATAATTTTTATTTATTTATTTTATTTTTTTTTTTTAAAGATTTTTTTTATTTATTTATTTGACAGAGAGAGACACAGCGAGAGCAGGAACACAAGCAGGGGGAGTGGAAGAGGGAGAAGCAGGCTTCCCGCGGAGCAGGGAGCCCGATGTGGGACTCGATCCCAGGACCCTGGGATCATGACCTGAGCCGAAGGCAGACGCTTTAACGACTGAGCCACCCAGGCGCCCTAATTATATAATTTTTAAAACAAACTTTCTATGTATAAACCAAGTAGCCCCAAAAGTATCATAAACATGTGAATAAATCTAGAAAAGATGTACAAGACCTCAAAACAAAAAACCCTAAAACTTTCTTGAGATGTATTAAAGAAGCCCCAAATAGAGAAAGTATACAACTTGTTTAAGGATTGGAAGACTCAAAAAACTGATCCACAGATTCAATGAATTCCCCCCATCTCCCCCCCCAAAAAAAAAAATCTCTCAAGGTTTTTTTTTTTTTTTTTGATGGAAATTGACAGGCTGATTCAAAAATGCATCCAGAAATGCAAAAGATAAAGGATAACTAACACATTCTTGATAAAAATCAAAATTGCAAGCTTTAACCACTGGATAACAAGACTCATTATAGGGTGCCTGGGTGGCTCAGTCGTTACGCGTCTGCTTCAGCTCAGGTCATGATCCCAGGGTCCTGGGATCAAGTCCCACATCGGGCTCCCTGCTTGGCAGGAAGCCTGCTTCTCCCTCTCCCACTCCCCCTGCTTGTGTTCCTGCTCTCGCTGTGTCTCTCTCTGTCAAATAAATAAATAAAATCTTAAAAAAAAAAAAAAAGACTCATTATAAAGTTACATTTGGAATTAGTGAAAATATGTACAAATAGAACAATGGAACAGAAGAGTCCAGAAAAAGACCATGCATATATTGACACTAGATTTACGACAAAGTTGATACTGAGTAGCCCTGGAGAAAGGATGGTGTTTTTTAATAAATGGTACCGTGTCAACTTAATATCCAGATAGAATAAATAAATCTTCACCCCTTGATGTAAATGGTACCTCACATCTTTTACCAAATTAATTCCAGGTTTATTGAAGACCTAAGCATAAAATGTAAGACAACCTGGCTTGCTGGAGATCATAGAGGAGAATATCTTTGATCTTCAGGTAGAGAAAGATTTCTTACCTTATGACTGTTAAAATGAACCACATTAAAATTAGCAACTCTGTTCATCAAAAGACACCTTCAAGAGAGTGGAAAGATAAACCACTGAGAGAAAATGATGCTGTCGATCTATAAAACCAACAAAAAGATTCATAACTAGAATATGTAAAGAATTTCCTTCAAAGCAGTAAGAAAAGGAAAAACAGTAGAAAACAGGAAAGAGACCTGAACAAGAACTTTACAGAAGAGTAAACAAGTGAAAAGACATTCAATCTTATTTATCATTAGGAAATTCCAAAGTAAATCCAAAATGTGAAACTGTGGAACATCTGAAACTCACACAATGCTCTGGAAGGGTAAATTAGTACAATTACTTTGTAAAACTTTATGGCGATATCTACTAAAGCTGACATATAAAGGGCCTAGGAAACAGGAATATAAGTCCAGAGAACATATGTACGAAACAGAGTATGGTATGTACATGGGCACCAAAAGACAGGAACAATATTTGAGATTTTAAATAAAATAGTTCATTTTTTAAATTCCAAAGAAAATACCATGGCATTATATTTTTAAATGACTCATTGTATGGTGTAGGTCTTTCATTAAATTCTCGAAGATTATTCCCCAAAGAGGTTCATATAATAAATACAGACAGGTAAATAAATGATTAAGAATCTTTGCTAGAAAGAGCTAAAAGGCTTCTAAACTTAAGTCTAGTCAATCAGTAAGGCAAAGTCCAATAACACACTTAAAAGAGATCTATTTGTAACTGTCCATGGACACTTCATAGAAGGAAAATATGTAACAATACCTTGAATAATGAATCCTCTGGGAACGAAGCTTCTTTAAAACGAAGTCATTGACATTAAAAACAAAACAGAACAATTCATAAATCAGGTAGAGTTAGTATAATCTTTTCCCCCAGTCAACATTCTAGTAGTTGCCCAAGATACAAAATAACTCCTTACACACTTTCCGTATTTATGCATAACAAGAGGTAATAAGGTCAGCAATTTGCAAAATCCTAAATTTAGTAGGCTTTCTATTTTAAGCCCCTAGCCACTGAATTCTGCTTTCCCCCCTCTTTAGGAACACAGTATCTTCCTGTTCCAAGACTCCGCTCCTTTAGCAACAAGGTAAAGAACAGATTATTGAGTATAATTTACATATTCATGCACGGATTTTAGTCAGTATTTTTCCATTAATAAATTACTTCTAAATATTTACATTTTTACGCAGAGGGAATTTCAGGTACTGCCAAATGAGAGATAACTAGAAAAAGAGGAAGTGATCCTGAAATCACATTATACAAAATACTGGCCAAGGGAATAAGCCTTATTTAACATCTTTTAGGATGACTAGGGGAGAGATGGACGTAGGGAAGCAGTAAGAAAGGACTTCCCAAGACCAGCCTTTACTTTCCTGGGAAAGATGAAGTGGGAACTAATCGAGTTGTAACTGCAAAAAAAAAAAATATATATTCTTAGGTACTACCATTGGCCAATGTAGTATTGTATTAAGTTCCAGACCCACCTATCTTAATATGATTCTTCTAGGGTACCTTTTCCGCCTAAGACATTCTATAACTTTAATATAAACTGTATCTCCCTCCACAGACTTTGTTTAATTCTTCCAAATGTATATTCCATATTTCTAGCACATGTAATTTTGTTTTATTTAACATTTTATGGTATCTTTCCTTTCCCTGAAGTCCTGGAACATATATCAATGTCTCACATTATTTCTACCTCTGATAATGGACTTTCTGACAACAAAGTATGTCCTTGGAACACATCCTCTTCAGTACCAGCAGAATAAGTATTTTGAAGAAGAGTAAGATACAAGTACAGGTTGGATCTGTAGGTGAAGGAGATAATAAAACAGGATAGAAAAAAATAAAGGGATAAATAAAAGAGAATTATACAAAAAATGACAGCTACTGTTCTACATTTTCATGAAAGACTTAGTGAAAAACACTAAGACATTAAAAGAAGACAATCTAAAAGTTATGCACATTTTAGCACAGTACTTTAAGAAATGAAAAAATAACTTATATTTTAAAAAATGATTAATGTTTTCACTTTATAACCCTTATCAAAAGAAATTAAGAGAAAGGAGCCATTACTCCGCTTGTAGCATAGTTTCAACCATTAAGATGGACTCAATACTGCTTCCTAGCATCCTCCCTGGAGTTCTCTCTGCAAGTCAGACCTGTTCAACTAAATTTACTGGGGGAGACGTAGTGAAAAAGGTATACAGTAGCAGTTTATGATTTTTAATCTAGCTCAATCTCATTGCGATTAGAGGTCTTAAAAGATGCCTCTGAATGGAATGCCATTGAACTGAGAGTGATTTTTCTTCGAATGAAGCAAGTACACTGACTTTAATTATTATGGTCCATGGCTAAGAGTTTGTGACATATCTTGCAACACTACATATTATCTAAAAACTGTGTATCAAAAATCGAGTAGATATGAGGTAAAATTAAGTTTATTAAATTTTCTCAAAAGATATTAGGGGAAATACTGCTCTAAGAGATAGGTAGAAAGGTCTGTAAAAGGGAAAACACAGAAAATTGCGGAGAAAAAGGGGGTACGGGACAAGAATAGAGCTCAGTAGGACTGCTGTGTTCACATAAAACTGCTCACAAATATAAAATATTCGTAGATAATTTTAGAAAAATAGTCCTGTGTACCTATAACTTCGGAATCAAAATGCCAAGACTGATTTTTTTCGCAGCGAGAGGAAAAAAAAGTAAGTTGTCTAGAAGGTAGAGAAATACGGAAACCCAAGGAAAGGCAAGCAAGGAAAAATCACAACTTTCACCCCTTCCTTCTAGTCAGCGTTTCGGAGGAGTAGGCTCTTTCCTCAGCTCATAAGTTCCAACTGAAGGAATCAGTCTGTAACTTCCCAACCCTAACCCTAAACTGAGATAATTCACTGCCACGATTCTTCTTATTTCGCTGTTTATCATAAGGCTGTACCAGCTGGGTATATAGGCAAGGCATTATCTAGGGCTCCCCTCCCTCCATTTGATTTAAAAGGATGAAAAGGCAGACCTGGTCATTCGCTCCCGCCCGTGGTTTCGGTTAAGAGCAGCGAGGAGAGGCTTCCCCTGCTTAATCTAGGGCGCACTCTCACCAGCCTCCCCAGCAGCCGCCAAGCAAAGAAGAGGGCCCCGAAGGCCTCTGGTCCCGCACAGCAGGGAGGGGGGGAGGTAGCATATGCGACCAGAGATAGCCACCGGACCCAGCTTTCAGCAGCGAGTCACTGCGACCGGACGCTTGCACCTGGGCGCACCCCTCGAGTCGACCGTTTGTATTTAAACAGTGGGTCGAAGCCCGCCACGCGCCGCGGTAAGACCTTACAAGCTGCCGGCTCCTCGGTGCTTCACGATTCCTCGCTGCAGATTCCACACCACGTTTGTCCAGACCACTGTGGAGACTGACTCTGCGGAGAGGCTTTCCAACGGCCAGTCCGATCCCAAGTTGCAGAATAAAAGTTTGTCTAATGTTGATATTTAGAGTGGCTCTTGGGTGCTATGTGATAAACAGGGAATCTATAACGAATCGTAAACACCGGAAATAAAAATGCTTCTTCTCTAAGGCTCAGAACCCTAACGTCACTTCCGGCAACAATAGGAAACGTCAAAAGTCGGACAGTCGGCAGCTCTGGCTGCTGCAGCTTGACGTGCGCTCAGTTCAGAGGGATCCTGTGCTGCTTCTGGTATTCTCACTGCTGATACCTCCACCGGCGTGAACAAGTAAAAGTTTGAACCGGCTTCTCCATGGCCTGGGCACCAGTTCCTGGCTGAGCCATTTTCTTTTTGACTAAAAGCCCCCGCCCAGAGGCCGATTCGTCGCGGCGGCGGTGGGGATCGCAGGTCGCTCAGGTACAAGAGATTTCAGAGCTCTTGCCTCTTTTCTCTGCATACGCTTACTTTTCTTCTCGAAAATAAAGACAACCGGTGTTTGCCAGTTGGCAGAAACTTGCCAACCAGCAAGACTTTGGGGCCAATGGCAGTGCAGAGCATTTTGAGTGACAGCTGTAATGGCTTGTTAAAATGTGGAATCTGTATCAGGAGGCGGGAGTAGGTGTGTTCCTTGTGTTTCTAGGCCACGGAGTATGTAGGTTAACTTGGGACCCCAGGTGGTGTCTCAGCCTCATTATGAAATAAAGACGAGAAATGGCAAAGATTACTCTTTTCTAGCCCAAGTGTTGCTTTTCAAGTAGAGTGTTTTCCTGATGCATAGGCAGTTTTCGCTTCTTTACTTACTTTTCAGTAATATGAATGCAAACACTTTTACTTAAGGACATGATGGCTTTGCCAGGTGCTTCAGCCATCAAACTTGTGTTAGAAATTTGGCAAATTCTTAATTTGTCTCGTTTGTTTCTTTGTAACTGGTGTCTACTCTCTTCTATGTCGGGTATTCCAGTTAAATATTATTAGATGAAGTTACATAAATAACAATCCTCATTGAAGTTTTTTGTTTTTATTTTTAGGTTCTGGATATAGTTAGTAATTTAATAACTGAGTCTACTTGTTTTAACAAATTGAATTTTTATTTTCAAGGATCCTAGATATTTCTCTCCAAATCAGTATATGATGATCTTTATTACTGCAAAGTGAAGCTAATTTATGTTTTTCATTTCTGCTTTCCTTCTCCTTTTAATATTTGGAGTATGGTAACCATATTTATGAGATAGGAGGGTTTTTACTCCCTAAGAAAATGGCTTACAAAATTGAGCAGATCTGAGAATGAAGGAAAAATTTTATTCTGTTTTTCCAGTTGAGTAGGAGACTTCCCATTTTTAGCCAGTTAATTTGATAATTTGTCTGAGGTACTGTGTTAGTTATCAATTGTTGGGTAACAAATTACTCCAAAATTTAGCAGCTAAACCAACAAATGTTTATTATCTCACAGTTTCTGTAGGTCAGAAATTTGGTTACAGCTTAGCAAAGAGCCTCTGACCCAAGGTCTTTCATGAGTTTGTAGTCAAGCTACAGTTGGGGGCTGTGATCTCATCTGAAGGCTTCACTGAGGGGTAGGAGGATCTGCTTCCAAGTACACTCACACAGTGGTTGGTAGGCCTAGGTTCTCTACACATGGGCTTTTCACACAGTGTGGTAGCTGCTTTCCCATAGGGTGAGCAATAGAAAGTACCCAAGACTGTCCATAGTCTCTCATAACCTAATCTCAGAAGTAGTGTCTCACCACTACTGCCATGGTATTAGAGGTGAGTAGTAAATCCAACCAGAAGTCTTTGGGGGCTATCCTCTAGACTGCCTAACCCAGCTTGGCTGCTAACTTTTAAGAGTTACTAGATAGGAATAACTGATCAAAAATGCATCCAAGAGAAATGTAGTCAGACAAGAAGCAATGCCAACTTGTAAAGAAATAAGTTTGTACAAACATTATCTCTCTTGGAAAAAAGTTTTTGTTTTTTGTCTTTTTCCCCCCCTACTAATTATCTGAAGAGGGGTTTACTATTTTCCTTGGAAATTATGCCTCATGAGGGATTATGTGCATGAGAGGAATGTTTGTATTTTTAGGGTCTACATGAGCAAAGCATATCACAACTGGAGATTGTGTATTCCTTACCCATTGCCATTTTATATGGTTGACACTGTACCAAAATTAACATGAGCAAAGATAGCTCTTAAGGAGGAAAGAGGTTAGAAAAGCTAGAGGTAATGCTTTTCTAGTATAGAAAGAATGCAAGTCAGTGGCAGTCTTTATGTTGGTGTGAGAGCAAATAAGGATGGGAGAGGTATATCTTAGAATAGACATGTTTTTCATGTCTGTTTTCAGCATTATTATTAGGTGGCAGGTACCACCTTAAATCAGTATTACCTGGCTGTCCATCATCAGCATAGCTTTTGTCAGGGAATCACATAACCTTACAAACTAAAGGTACAGGCTTTCAGGGCTTGTTGTGACACTATTTTGGCTGTGATCTATAGTAAAACTGCATATGCTTCTTCCAGGTCTGAAAGATGTTGTAAAGCCTTACCTGTTAGTAAAGTATTACTCAGGTTTATCTTTTATATGTTAAGTGCTTAACACCAGCCTAAATGTGTCAATTCTCAAATTATAGGTTTGGCTTTTAAATTGAGATTCCCTGTCAGGTTTACATATTTCATTTATAGGTTACAGCCAATTAATGAATGTGATTTTGGGCCCTTATATATTTGCAAAATTTCAAACAGTTGCTTGAGAAAATAACACAGTTGAAACACTTCCATCCACAATACCTTATGATAATAACTGCTAAATAAGCTAAAACATGCATTATAATTTATTATATGTGATCAGTTTAATAGGGAGTTTTTGTGTTTACTGTGCTTTTGTGTAGATTAAAAGACATTTTCCTCTTTTCATAATATAAAACCATTGATTTACCAAGAGATTATCTTATTGATCACAGTGCATTGAAGTTAGTCATTCAAACTTATGATTTTAGTTTACTACTTATCCAAGTGCTATATACAACTATTTTTTCCAAATTTCAATTCAAATTTGGAAACTGAGGTTAATCCTTTTTCTGGCCTGTGATTAATTGCATCAGAATCATTAATACTGAAGTCTATGAAACATACATCTAACTCATTGCTTTCTCATTGAATTATTTTACTATTTTAAAACAACTTTAATGAAATATATCTACTTCTAGGAATTTGTATTCCCTGTTTCTTTTTTTCTCATTTTGTTTTTCTGACAAATTTATTGGTATATATTCTATAATAAAACTAAAACATCCTGACTTGGATAAGTTTACATTGTATTTGGGACAAACTTTAGTGACATAGAGATGATAAAAGATATCTGTGGTTTCAAGTTTAGGCATCAGGTTTAGTCATGAACATAGGGAAAAAGAGACAGAAAGAACAGATGCTTATACACACACATACACCCCTCCATCACCTCTTCATTTTATTTATTTTTAGGATTTTTTTTTTCTCATTTAATTTTTATAGAATCAAAGAACTTTACAGTTAAAAGAGAACTTAGGGATTGATCGTTAGGTTCAAAACCCTTGTTTTACAGGTGAGGAAACTGAGACATAGAAATTTAAGTCACTTTTCCAATACGGTTAATAAAGAGAAGGAACCTGAATCAAATCTAGGTTTTGTGTCTGTCTCTTTTCATTACTAGATATTTTCTCATCTCATTTCTGACTTTCCTTATATTCAGGCCTCCCTCAATATTTTAATATCTTGTTTTATTTGTCTAAAAGCTATTCAGTGAGAATTACAGTTTTTGTTTTGCTTTGTTTTTTAATTCTTCAACTCATAGGAATGGCCATTTTCTTTAGTGAGCATGGAGTGTGGTGTGCCCCAAGGAGGTGGGTTGAGATATGCTGCTGTGGCAGTTGTTGATTACAAAGGGTTTGAGTAAATAGTGCAGTTAAGTAAGAACCAGTGTAAGTAACAATAATGCTGGTGAGAAGTATAATTGTTTTTACTTTAAAGGTTAAAGCAGGTGAGAAGTATGATAAATATATTTTATTTAAAGATTAAAACAGTGGGGGCATTTCTTGCAAAACGAGCCCCCCCAAAATAAATAAGACTAAAATTCTCAGCTTATTTGATTACATTTAAATGACACATTTTAATTTTTGCATTTGTTTAAATTCCATTTGGTAACACTCATTCTAGAATCAAATTAAAGACCTGGAAAAAAGCTTCAGAAAGTAATATTGTAAATCTTTTTGAATTAAAAAAAAAACAACAACGTACAAATGGTATGCTTTTTAGTAACACAAACTGCTCTTGCAGGACCAGATCTTTAAATTTAATGAGTGGGTTTTTTTTTATGTGTTTAATGTACCTTATGACCTCTTAGTACTTAGCTATTTCCCTTTTCTCCTTAGAAAGACCTCCTTGTGGGCTTACCCTTCCTTCTTTCTCTACAATTGTTGCCATTCAGTTTTAGGGGTGTGATTGGTTATCATGTTTTTTTCTTTCCTCCCCTCTTTTTTCTTTTTTTAAATTTCTCCACCTAGTGTGTTCTAAACTACTTTGGTGGTCTGTTCTTTTGGAAGTAGAGAAATAAGTGCTGGACTGCCCATTTGATTCTAATTGTATTGGGGAAAATATTTTCTCACAGGATTTCTCATGTTCTTATGTCATTGAGTAATATCACATCATTTGAAGATTTTTAGAACCAAAAATAATCAATCTATTTGTTACTTTCTAATCGAAAAATATTGAAAATCTCTAAGAATATAAAAGTAAGTGAATTTTCTCATCTTTAAGTCTTAATAAAATTAGCATTTTAGACATAACACTTTTGGCACACATTATAGATCTTTATCTGAGGTAAGAAATTTCTTATTTCTAAATTCCACTCTTAAGATGTTTAGGAATTACTGAAGAAAACTAACTTTTTATAATGAGTTATTTTAATTAGATAATTATTTGCCAATCCTCCCATACCAGTGATTTAACAGTGTTTGCTCAAGAGACTTATGGAATTGGTTTGCTTCAAATGAAAGTATTTAAACAAGAATGCTTTTTTGATCCCACAGACTCATTTCTATTCTTCCCATCTTCCAAGTGTATTTTCTACTTAAGTGGTATGTAAACCATTCTTTATTACGTAGAGTCATCTCCACAGCATGTGCTTTTTGCTTGGTGCCATGGAATTACTAAAAGCACTAGTGCAGTTACCTTTTTCTTATAGAATAGGATTTTATTTGATGTTTAATTTGTTACCTAGAGACATTTTGATTAAAGTTGCTTCACATTTTACAGATAAGCTTTATACTAGATATACCAACAGCTATTAATAAATCCTATCTCATGTTTTTGTGGAACTACTCTACTCTTGAAAAGAGAACAAGACATTACAAATACAGCCAAAAGAACTATCTATGTTAGAAACATAG